GGATGAAGAGGGAGGGGGGGGGAATAGAAAGGAAAGCACGCTAGGGGGGAAGGTGGGGGAGAGTGAGGTGCTCCCAGGGGGAGGGCAGACACGGGGAGAAGACAAGCAAGTGGTGCTCGACTGTATGCGGGCCAGCATATTAGACAGGAAGGTCGGGGAGGAGGAGACGGTGGGGGGGAACAGCAAGGAACGCATGCCAGGAGGAAAGATCGGGGAGAGTGAGGCGCTTCATGGGGGAGGGCAGGAACGGGAAAGGACGGGAGAGAGTGGTGGGAAGGAGGAGGTGGGCSGGGGGGGAAGGGAGGAAAAGGATGGGTCGGGGGATGGATCGAGGAATGGAGAACCACCTTTGGGGCAGCAGCAGGAATGCTGGCTCCTTATCCCTTATGGTCGCACAGAAACGGTTGCGGAGTCAACAAATGTGCATATCCCGGTCCCGGTGGGCGCGAAAGAAGGCGAATCGGACGACGTGGAGGTGGTGGACCTCGCAGCTAGCCTGTCGGCCCTCTCCCCCCCCCCCCCCCCTCCTTCCCCCTCCCACAAATGTGAGCCCACTGCTGTGACATCGGACAGTGGATCGGTGGGCATGCCGAGACGTCGGCGGAAGCAGCTGATTTCGGGTCCCTCCATATCGAGCCCCGCGAAGGTAGGAATTTCCTTACAGCAAGCAACAGGGGCGATCCAGTCCGATCGAGAAGAGGAGCGACGCGAGCTGCAGGCACAGGCGGACGCAAAGCCGAAGAGGCGGGATCGGTCCCGCTCCCCGGCTGGTCGTAAGGTGCAGCCGCTTAAAGACGAGGACCGATGGGTGTCCCCGCAGCGAAGACGCATTGAAGAAGAGGAGTTGCAGAATAAGGTGGCCGAGGAGGGGCTGGCGGAAGGCATGGAGGACGCGCAACCCCGCCAGCCTGCCCCAGATTTGGATGAGCCCATAATAGGGGATGAAGGCGGGGACTCGACAGATGACAGGGGCGGAGCGATGGATGAGGACATGGATATCAACGAGAGGATGGAAGCAGACATGGATATTAATACAACGGTGAAGGGATCGCTACAGGAAATATTGGCTGCCGGGGAGTGTTACGTCTGCCCGGTGATGCTATGGTGGGCGGAGCAAGGCATTAAGGTGGTCACGAAAGGCAGTACGGAATTCTTCGTCTATGCGGCGCGCTCCCTCCCCAAGAACCCGAATATTACCTGACAGGTTAGTCGTTGGGTGGGTCCTAACTACAGAGTGAAAGTGCTTCCCAAAGTCTCGGTGGGACGCTTTTTCAGACAACTGCGAGGGGGGACAGATTACGGGCTTTTGGTCTTTTTTACATCCATCACCCCCCGGCAAGCGGGCTCTCTGACCTTGGCTCACAAGGATGCTACTTGGACGAAGTTGGATCAGGTCTTTGGCCCCCGTGCCAGCCCGACTGACTATCAGATCGTCAACGAGTTTACGGCGGGGATATTGGCCAAAGTCAATTCGATGTTACCTACGAACCAGCATCTGGGATCGGGGAACTTTGCTGAAGCCAAGGGTTGGTGGGCGACGGAGGATAGGTTGTAGCAGGGTTAGACTTAGGTGCGCTGTGTTAATTATGAGTGCCTCTGGGTGAGTGCACTCCCTCCTCTAGAGTAGAATAGCTAGCGCTGCGAATCTGGTAGTTTTTTCGGTTGTATTCTTGTTTGTTTTGTTTGCTAACTGGCTTGTTTGCTTGTTTGTCGGTGTGTTTTGAGTTTTGACTACATTTTGCTTGTCTGTGTTTGCTTGGTTTGTTGTTTAAAATTTGGTGTTTCTTCCTCCACCCGTCTGGTTGGGGCTGCCGGGATGGATCGAAGAAACCGATTAGCTGTTAACTTGTACGCGAAGGGCTTGTCGCCTCGGTCTCTAAATCCGAAGCGATGGGAGTTGCAGCGTACGGTCCGCAAACACCAGATCGACGTTCTCTGCCTCCAGGAGACTAAGTTGGGGGAAGGGCTCTGTTTGCACGACGCCCCCTGGTGGAAGGGACCTCAGGTCTGGGCCACTGCGCAAGGAGCAACTGATAGAGGAACGCAGGGGGGCGTGGCTATTCTGATATCCCCCCATTTTCGAGGGGAACTGGTGGACTGGAACTGGGACAGACAGGGGCGATGGGCCTGGGTGATGCTACAGTGGGGGAGGACCCG